AAAGTCTATTCAGGTATCACAGCTGGATGACACTCTCACTAATAGTAAAAGACAGCTGACCTGGTTCATAATTAACGTACCTAGCTTCTGTTAGTTGTATCATATCCAGCGTTGATGATGATATTGCACTGGAGCAACAGGGACCCAATCCAAAATGACACTGAGAAGGTATTTTTCAGATCTTGTTGAAATCATCATTTACATTTTCTGTTAGCCGCCATTCCCTGGCAGCTTGTAATGAGATTCTGCTCCTCGAATCGATTCTGCCCCCTGTTCCCACCCTCTTCTTTCCCTTCCTTGCATCTCGTGATTACCCACTGTAAAAGCAGAGCTACCCAAAAGGACTGCACAGGCTGGTTTTCCCCCTTTTTGTTCACCATTGGTTTACACACTGGTTTATTATTCTAGGGTGTTTGTGAGTGCTGAATGCCCTGGTTTGTTACTCCTGTGCCATCTCCTCAACTTCAAAAAACCCAAAGAGTTTATCTTTTCTTTTCCTCCTGAATTCCTGACTTTATTCTGATAACAAAAAAGAAGGACATAATTAAGCCCGAGCTCTTTCTGTTCACTGAGAATTAAACACTAGTATTAAATACTGGCTTAGGAAAGACTGCAGCGTTCATCAGTACAGTTCCTCTGCACAAAAAGCAAAGGTAGAGCAGAATTAGAAATGTTCATATAACTTCTGTCTGCATAGTGTTTGTCTGTCACAAATACTTATAAATACTTCACCGCTAACAAAAGGAGAATTAAACGTCTCTGTGCACCATTGTGTCAGTGTGTGAACTGCTTCACACTAGCTTTTAGGATCAATTATTTTGGCATAAAAATCTACAAAAGTTGTGTTCAGTTTTCTTTAATTCTTTAAATAGCTTTTAATGCTATTCCCATGGAAACTGCTTACAACCACATGCCTAATGTTTGTGGGTTCAAGCATTACCCAGGAACAACTCCAAATCCCAAAGGCTGCATCGAAAAGCTGAATTTATATGGACTGTTACCAACAATTGATAAACACTGATGTTTATTTACTTCATGAGTCAGTACAAAACAGAACTGCTTAACCTAGTGAAGTTTTTAGCAGACAATGTATATTGTTTGATCTTTTTCTCCAGTACAATTACTTTGCCTGCAGTCCTGTCAGAGGCAGCTGAAGGCTTTTCTAATAATAGGCAAAACTAGGTTTTGTAACCTCAAAGATGAGAAATACCTTATTTTCAGATGAGCAAAATTCAGTTCCACTTTGACTGTAGAGCAGCTTCGCAAAAATCATCATCTCTTGGTTATCTGTGGTGCATGTTGCATCCATTAAAAATCTGAGACTTCACCAACAACTAAGAACAAAGCAGGTAGCACCGCAGCATGCCGATTGTTTCTGATTATTAGCAAAACCTTCAGATTTTCAAGGGTTCAATACATCTGACCCCCAATTAAAGGCAAAATGGCCTACCAATTTACTATTTTTCTTAATTATCTTGAAAGTACTTCTAGAAGGCAAGTGACCTATTAGTATGTGGGGGATGATGTACCATGGAAACCACTTGGGGTTTCCATAGGACTGAATGTGCTGTTATGGCAGACTGCTAATTAAGGCATAGATCACTTTTTGATTTATGACAGTTTTATACTATTGCTACACTACTCACTTCACTTAACTGCATTCAGCTCAACAAAGACTGTTATCAGGTTGAGTTTCTTCAGGAGCTTTTGGAATAGGTTTATTTTTTAAAACTTGTCCGGACTTCTGGAATAAGAGGATCTGTTCATAGACAGCTTTTCTTCTAACCTTCCTCTTTCATTTTTTTTCTGTTTCTTCTTTTCTTTGAATGCTTAATAACCTTTGAACAGCACCCAAGATCCTTATTGCTTTCAATTTTTCAGCTCTCCTTTCTGATTCCCCATTTAAATTCACATTGCTGTATCTCCTTGTTCTTTTCTTCCATTTTACAAACTCTGGGCTTACAGCAGTGTAATTAAGAATTTGCCTCAGTGAGCTCAAGAGAGAAGTAGTCTATAATAAACAGATGAAGTTGCTAAATCCATGAATAAGAAGTGCATCCTCATGTACTATCTCGTAGGATAACAAATAATGAAGAATGCCTTCTTCATTATTAGGCAGAAATAATGAATAATGGGAAGTAATAGAGCGGAATGGCTTTCCTCCCTCTTTCCCTAGTGCTGTAGTGGATTTTATACAATGGTTCTTGAAAGCATATTTTGGCAACTGGATGCATATCTGAAGAACAAGTAAAGAACATTCTGCAGCAGTAAAAAAACATTCAGCAATTTAGTTGATATCTGTCCATATTCCCAGCAGATATGCTCATACTTGGCAGCGGATCCAAGTTTTATTAGAAGTCAGATAACCACATTAGCGTGGGATTGGGCCTGAAATAATACAGCTTTTTCTCAGCAGAGCTCATTAGCTCAGCACAGCGCAGAACAGTTACATGACTTCTGGTTATCTCAGAGCCCAAGGAGGTTGAACTCCTATCAGTAAAATGTGTTGTAGGCCTTCTCAATAAAAAAAACAATCCACAGGATGAGGCACAACAAGCCTTTTTCCTGATGAGAACTAGGGAGTGATGGATGAGGACTGGCTGGGGACTCAGTTACGTTTCCCTAATAGAGCTCTTCAATGGCCCACAACATCAACTCCCGCTTTGTTCCAGGGGATTTGGCTGCGTGACTGCTATTGAAGTAACCACTTTGCAATAGACAGTTTTCAGACATGGTTTAAACTGAACAATGAGTCAAAAATGCATTGCACAAGCCAGCTCCCAAAACTAGCCCAGCTGTGAAAAGCCAGCAGTGCCATCCATTGACTAAACTTTGTAAGGCATGTGGCTGGCAGGGGAGGAATATCTGTCAGTGAACAAGCAACATCCCTCCATTCTGCCGTCTCGCTATTGCAGATAAATTGCCAAAGAAAGTCTTTATATGTTGGACTCTGGTCCCAAACAAGTTCCTGCAATGCCGGCTCTCAACCAACAGCTGCCAGACCTGTTAAAAGAGTTCACTCACACAGACAGAATATCAGCGTTCACGCTTGTTGACTCGTGATGGATGGGTGCTTGTGCCAGCTAACTAGTGTCACAAGAAGAACGTGACAAGTCGCAGGATGATCACATGCCCAGAGCCACAGAACAGGCTCTTTTCTTTTCTCTTGCTGAGATCATGTAACAAGCACCAAGCACCACCATAATGCAAGATCAGAACCAGGTACAGTAACATGGCACGAGTAATACAACTACTAACAGGCTGATCACATGCCCAGAGCCCAAGAAAGGCTCCTTATTTCGTAAGATCTCAAAGCTGACAACCCTATATAGAATGTCTGTGTTTCTAGTGGTCCTACTTTACCAAATCACACTTGAAAATATGACATAAATCTTTTATAAGTGATAGGTTTGAAGCTTTAAAAGAATATTCCCCATTGTTAGGGATTGCTAGAAAGGTCAGCAGACCAAAAAGCTGCTTATAACTGTAATCTGCGATGCTCTCTAGCTCATGTTATAAGCCACTCACACCAATTAAATGCTTGTATCAATGCAAGTAATATTATTATTTAAGGTTTGGTCATTCAAAGTAGTTACAATTTTGGGTGTAACTCAAATTCTGGCTGAAAAAAAAAGAGGAAAAGATGACACCAAATGAAGCCACCCTCTCCTCCTGCACCTGCTCCTCTTCTGCTCTCAGGAAACTTATTGATGCAATTCTTCCGATGCAAGAACAGAGAGCAGGTACAAGCATGGGGACATAACCTTCTGCAAAAGGCTCTCTTGTTGCACTGTTTCTGAGTGCTGGCTCTGTACAGCAGGCGCGAGTTAAGGACCACTTTGGTCCCTTTAACCATGCTTTTAAGGAAGTTCACGGAAGCTTTTTTTCCTTATGGCCAGTCACAACGCAACCTCTTCAGCAAACTAAGTGTGTATATTCAAAAGCTGCAAGGTAAACTCACTTGCACATATTAGAGAACAGGCTGGCTGCGTCACTGCTTGGAAAGGATGTGTCCCAGTGCAGCAGCATAACCAGCTGAAAGATGTGGGAACAATTTCCAGTAACCTCATACAAATAGGGGCTAATGACTGTGTTTAGTAATTCACATCAGCCTTTTCTGAGTACACTGCAGATTGAATATTGTACTGCACCGAGTTGTTTGGCCAGAATCTCATTATGGCATTATGCAGTGAGAGGTAGAAAAGAGGGAATCTGGCCTTGGCTGTTACTTGTTTCGTCTAAATAGGCTGACAATTTGTTTTATAGCAATATTGGTAAGGAGCAAAGGGCAGGCAAATCTTCACTTGAGAATCTGAGTCATGGGCTGCTACAACAGAATGTTACCAACTATTTACATAGCTTTTAAGCCTGAAGGGGAAGAGGACAACTGGCTTTTTTATTTGTGAAAACAATTTCAAATTGCAGAACATTTAGAAAAGCAAACACAAAACACATCTCTTGCGTAATTTTTCTTAAGTTCTCATGAAGCTAAATTATGACCAGCACAGTAGTGCGACAAATAAAAAAAAATAAATCTAAAGGAGCCTGTGCAGATTTGAACATCCACAGGAATCAGAAGAGGTGTAAAACAGCTTGAGGCGGCAAAGCTGTTTAAACACTCAGCTTCCAAATTTGGCTCCACAATTTTTCAATTCATAAAACACTGCTTTACCCATTTTAATAGCAGCAGACATTAAAAAAAAAATCACTAAACAGCATCATTTGGCATCCCTTTCTGTGTTATATTCATCAGCACAAAACACTGCACTTTCCCTGGACTAGCTGACTTCATCTGTTTTAAAAGTTTGCTAGCTATTTTCCCGAGGTATGGGTCTAAAACAGACACCTCTCCTCAGAGTGGGTTGCACTGAACGATAAATTAAATAGCCAGCTGAAATCTTATCCAAATGCCAAACCCCAGGTACCTGAATGAATTGTTTGCACTTCACTGCAAAATAAATATCAATCTAAGGGTAGAAGATGGTAACTTCTTCACGGACATGAGGAATGGAAACTTTGCTGGATACCAAAAAAGGTGAGTTGAGTTAAATGTTAGAGCCTGTCTTCCAAACTGTGAATGGGTATGTCATAACATGTCTCAAGGAAGTAGCAGTGGGTACAGCAATCATCGCGGCTTTAAATGTAACCTGGGTCAATAGTTACGGAAACATGAGAACAGCCAGTGACTTCTATGAAGAAGGCTGTGTGTGTCTTCAGTGGCCACACCAGGATGCAGAGATAGGGCAAAAAGGCCAAGAGCTGTTTGGACACGGAGACTGAGTTACCCTCCACGTTAGGGTGAAACACATTAGAGGGTGCCAAGGAAGCTGCTTCTGCTGCCACTCTCTGTAGTTTATCTGTTCTGTGAATAAATACCGTTCTTGCTTTGCTGGGGTGTCCATCCCACACCTAGCAGGAGATGTTGGATGTGATTTTCACTCACACAGCCAAATGGCTATACATCACACCATCCAAATGGAAAAACATCTCATCAGAAGATTACCGGAGAGACTCTTGTAGAGAGTAGAATTAATGCTGCTGACTTGTTATATCAACTAAAGCACAAAGATCCCGAAAGAACTATGCTTCGTCTGTGAGAAAGAGAGAGACCCTCACTGCTCAACAGCAAGTCTGCCATGTGCATGGCAAGGACGGGCACATGAAATCATCAGTGGGTCACATAAATACAAGCCATTTGGATGTTTTCACTTCTATTTTCTTCTGTTTTCACTTTACAACCCTTTTTGCTTTAACAAGACTAGGGTGTCAATGGGCAAAGAGTAAGATCTGCTTAGCAGGTGGAATTAATCTTTGTGCAGAGGCTCCCACAAAAGCCATCACATAAATTGCTGGATTTGCTTTTAGAGGGATTTAGGTTGACGCCATAGTTCCCATTGTCTGTGTTTGAGGAGGAAGATGTCCCTGAAAGCTAACTGTATGCGCTCAAGCATTTGTCACATAGAAATTTCCTACTAAATATGTTTATAAGCTGCATATGGATTTGTCAAATAATGAACAGGCATTGTGCTGTACTTTGCACAGATACAAATTTTAATGTCAAGGAAATAATATTTCCTGATGTTCCTTTCCTGATATCATTTTAATTCGTGTTCATCTTATCAGCTCCCACATTCTCATCTTCATAATTTAAGCACCCTTGGAACATGATGTGAAAAAGCCAATGTAAAAAAGAACTAGGCCACTTAAAACTAGTTCACATGCCATGCCCTTCATTTACTATAATATAAAAAAAATTTACCTTAGCTTCTTTTCTGAATGAGGTGCATGATCAGTACCCAACTTCTCTCATTATATTTATGTACGTGGCATTACTACATTTGTAATAATACTAAATGATACAGCTTCCATCACGCATAAGCAATTGCCTCCCAGTCTCATACAGGAACCAATTCCTACTTGCCCATTAGAAGGCATTATATTTGGGAACCATCACATTCACGATCTCCGAATTATTTGTAGATGAAATTATTTGAAAAACGTGTAATGAATCTGTTCTCATGCAATTTATAGAACTTAGAGGACTTCTAAGATTTCTTCATCATCAGAACATTATTGTAGTTTGACTAAGACATCATTAAAAGTAAGCTGTTACTGAATTACTAATCACATTTATCCTCACAAATGAACTTAACTCCTGCACTAGCTCGTTGCAGGGCCCCACAATCACCAAGGGCAGTACTTAGCTTGCACTCTTGGCAAACCACAGATTGAACAATTCTGCAACATGGATTTCTAGTTACGGAAATTGCATGTTAGAGCACACTTCAGTTCTATCAATGTTCCTGCAGCGCTGTAAAACCAAGAGAGATTTTGACTTCAAAAAGTCAAATTATGGAAGAGAAAGTGTTATGGAAGGGGTTTATAATAGATATCTTGACAAAAGGTATGCCCTATGCTACTTCATTATAAATGTTCTGACAAAAGCACGACAAACATTTCTGACAAATTATACAAGAACGGTCATTATGGAAAAGTCTTTGCCTCACTGGAATCCAAATGCACCTTTTGGTGACATTTTACTTAGCTGCCTATTTGGCAGTCTTTCATCTTACTTCCCAGCTTTACTCTTACTGACAATAAACTATTAACAATGCAATAATAACATGAATAACACAAAACCAGAGCAGCACTGTCTAGCTGTTGGAAAAGTACAAAAGGAAAACAATAGTAAATCTACATAGCAACAGGCTGAGAGATGAAGCAGTGGTTCGAACAGGACACAAATGCAGTAGATCAAGTGCATCGTCAGTCTAAGTCTATTTTGAAATAAGCCATCTTGATTTGGGGTTCACATCTTGGCACACTGTGCTCTTGTTTCAAGACTGCTGAACACACTTTTGAGATCTGTAAATATTTTAGCATTCTGTAGCATCCATTTTTTCAGCTTATCCTATATTTAGTATAGATATCAAAACTTTTTGATATATGAGTGCTTGTGAGAAAATGAATGACAGAGAAAAGAAGATAAATTATTAAGGTACTGCTTGAAAAATTGACATGTTTTAAAGACTGATACTGTAATTATCAAAGAGCAATAGGACAATTTGAGTTAATTTTAGAAAAATGAAAATTACTAGTCAGTCCTGCTCACTAACAATAGCAGTCACCTCTATTTACATAAAAAATAAACGTACTATATGAATGTAAGAGAGAAATTCAGTAACCAAAAAGTGAACCTCTCCTTCACATTCAAGTGCTATTGCGCCCACTCTGATGGATACAATGTCACGTCCTCCCATGGGATCTATCATGTTAACAACCAGTAAATACAAGTTCAAGGCAGTTCTTTGTTAGGCCTAAAGTCTTGTTCTCCCAATGGCCACACATATTAGGTTTAGCAAATGTGACACCCACCCACAAGAAAGGCCAGAAGGAGGATCCAGGGGACTACAGGCTGGTCAGTCTGTCCTTAGTGTCGGGGAAGGTTATGGAGCAGATCATCCTCGGTGCTGTCACGTGGCACGTACAGGACAACCGGGAGATCAGGCCCAGTCAGCATGGGTTTATGCAAGGCAGGTCCTGCTTGACTGAAGCTATGGATGCTGTCTGCCTAGACTTTAGTAAAGCCTTTGACACCATTTCTACAGCATTCTCCTGGAGAAACTGGCTGCTCACGGCTTGGATGGGCGTTCACTTCGCTGGATGAAAAACTGGCTGGAAGGCCGGGCCCGAAGAGTTGTGGAGAATGGAGTTAAATCCAGTCGGCGGCCGGTCACAAGTGGTGTTCCCCAGGGCTCAGTACTGGGGCCCGTTCTATTTAATATCTTTATCAACAATCTGGACGAGGGCATGGAGTGCCCCCTCAGTAAGTTTGCAGACGACAAAAAGTTAGGTGGGAGCGTGTTGCGACGGGGGAAGACATGGACACTCCATATGAGCAATCAGCAAGCTTCGTTTATTGAATAGCACAGCTGTCTTTTATAATCGGCTAAAACATATTCCATGTTTACTCTACTATAATTGGCTACTACATGTTTCATATATACTCTGCTATAATTAGTTATATGTGTTCCAACAACACAGCATTCTGATTGGTTCATCACTCCAGCCCTTTGCTCCTTATCTGTGGCTAGCTACCTCTTCTTCTCCCATGCAACTACTCCCTCTTTTCCCATCACTGAGTAATCACAGCCTTCTCATTACCGTCTAGCACCTGCAGTCAGGGTCAGGGTGCCCTTGCCAATTAGCAATCACAGGAACTGGGTCCGATGTTTCCCAAGCTCCTGCTCGGCCAGCTGGATCATATCTATGTTACCCTTCTCAGCTAGCCAATTTCCCACAGGAGCGTTGATCTACTTGGGGGTAGGAAAGCTCTACAGAGGGGCCTGGGCAGGCTGGATCGATGGGCCGAGGCCAATGGTGTGAGGATCAACAAGGCTCATCCCTGGGTCCTGCACTTCCACACACCAACCCCATGCAGCGCTACAGGCCTGGGGAAGAGTGGCTGGAAACCTGTCTGGCAGAAAAGGACCTGGGGGTGTTTTTCCCAGAGGGGCGCTTTTGCCAGGGGCCAGCTTCTCCTTTGAGGTTCTGGGTTGGCTTTTCCTGCGGCCAACTCTTCATTCGGGTGGATGTCAGTCTCTTTTCCTAAGTCACAAGCGATTGGACAAGAGGAGACGGCCTTAAGTTGTGCCAGGCAGGGTTAAGATCGGTTATTAGGAAAAATTTCTTCACCAAAAGGGTTGTCAAGCATTGGAACAGGCTGCCTGGGGAAGTGGTTGAGTCACCATCCCTGGAAGTATTAGATGTGTAGACGTGGGGCTTAGGGACATGGTTTAGTGGTGGAGTTAGTAGTATTAGGTTAACTGTTGGACCCAAAGATCTTAAGGGTCTTTTCCAACCTAAACAATTCTATGATTCTATGAATTGCAAGGGAATTTGCAGGATCATCAGTCTTCCCATTTAACTTCTTGTCAAATTGCCTTTCAGCTGCAGCATCAGGATTACTTGTACTTCCAGGCTTATAGGTAAGATTCTAGGTGTCCTGGCAATGCCTGAACTTTTCAGGCAGCAAATAACAAGATGAGATGGAAGATGGCCCAAAGTCCTACTACTGGAGAGAGGTAAATATAGTAATGTGTGAGGAGTAACCATTGATGTATGCATTACAGAAGGACCTGCACATCCAGGATAACACAAATGTTTGTCTGTGCAGAATCATTTTCTTGAGCTGTCTTTGAACGTAACAAAGTACTTCTCACTTTTGCCTTAGTTACAGTGAGCAGGATGGAGCTATCTTTTTCCCTGCACTTGTAAACTGTCTTCACATTAAGGTATCTTAAGCCAGATTGTTTGATTGTTTTTCAATGACCATTTATCATTTGATGTTTATGGTATTGTTCCTTCCTGCTTCTAAGCACAATCTCCCACTGCAATTTTGAAGACACTAGATAGCCAGACCATACATATAAAACTGCCAACTCTAATGCTTTTATGCCTCATTAACCGACCTGCTTTTTTCTGCACTTGCCCAGGATTTCTAGACATCCAGCAGCAGCATAACACATATGCCACTGGAGAGCAGCTCTGTGTTCTCGACCATGCAACGGCTGTAATGGGTCTGCCAGACAAACACAGGGAAGCGTCCAGTGTATGTGTGCAGAGCCCAGTGGTGGTCCATGCCAGTGGAACTTGACTGATATCTCCTTTACAGAGTAATACCAGAATTAACTTCTGGGATTTTTTTACAATTCAGAAAAAAAATTGGGAAATTGTAGTGTGCTATGATTACAGCATTGCCATGTTATCATCTGTCTACTCAGGTGGTGCTGGTGTATGAATAGGCATAGAAAACACATTAGCAAATTGCTTTGGAACAGAATAAATATAATAAATAAGTGAACATAATAAATACGTGAAATTGTGTTCCGAGAAACTATTTTTCTACAAAGCATTCCAAGAGACTAAATTTATAAAGGAAGAACTAAAGGAACTGTAAAACCCTAGAACTGGCAGTGCTGTTGGTTATGCCCAGAACAGACTCTATTTTAAGACTCTCTTCCTCCAAGACACTCCTTGAAACCCATCTGTTTTGTGGTGCATTGCAGTTAACAAGAGCCACCCACCATGTCGTTTCAGCATTGTACCATTCAGTGTTGCCCTGTGCAGTTCCAGCTTGTGCTCCGAAGCTGCAAGCTCTTCCGGAGGGAAAACCTCCTATTTATCTGACACAGTTCTCCTGTTGTACTCAGCCCTGTGTACTTACATCACTGTCAAAACAACAACAGGCCCGAAGAGGAAAGGCTTAGTCATTAGGAAAAGAGAAGTATTTTATTGCCAGAGCTTAGCATTCAGATGCATTGTTTCAGTACATTAATGTAGTTATGCAATATTTACTCTCCTCCAGCAGCGAGCAGCCTTGTCTGGCGTGGCAAGGAGCCGTTTCAGAAGGCTGCAGCGACCGCCGTTGTGAAAAGCCGTGGCATTGTGCAGGGGAGCAGTCGACTTGCAGATATTAAAGCGTGTTCAGTAGCACTGACATTGAATGACTGAAACGCCACAAAAGGTCTGGAAATCACCACGGTTATGCACTGATCCCGAAAATTACCCAACGTGGACAGATCTTTCCCATCAGCCAATGCCACACTGGTTGAAATAGAGCTCCCCAGGGCACCTGCCAGGAAAATCCCCCTCCCAAACATCTACAATTCTCTCACAGTGATGTTATACTTCAATGGTGTTTTTAACTCCTACTTTTCCTGTTGCAGTTTTAATGCAGAAACAAGGCTGTAAACCTGAGACCCTCGCAGTGTTTGTTGTTAATCTTTTTCTGGTCTCGGAGATGCTCTGAGCCCTTTGGGACTGGAAAAGCTCTGCTTTTGCACTCTGTGACCTCCGCCGTGAGATCCTGGCGAATTACTTGAGGTCTTCAAGATAAAGTCAGCAATTAAACTGCCTGCACTGTGAGCCTGTGCCCCAGAACTGCAGCAGCGACGACACTTTAACCACCTCTCTGCTTTAACCTATGTGCAGACTTAGGGAGGACTCTGAAGAACGGAGAAGCATCACCTCCCCTTCACCCTTACAGGCCGAAACACCTCTGAGGGCACTGAAACGACAACTCTCCCCCTTTAGCGAGCTACCTGGAAGGCCGCACCGAAAAACCGCTCTGTTTAAGCTCCTACAGCTCCTTCCAGAAGGCCGCTGGAAGGGGTTTAACCAGCCAAGACAAAGCAAGGGACTTCCTCACACCGTCCCGGGTAGCAACAAACCGCCCTTAGAGACTTTTTTCCCTCAGACCAAAAGCGCCCATGGGTCGCCCCCCCCC